TCAACTCCCTGTCGCTGACTAAAGCCTCGTGCAACGTAGTGAGCCTTGAAGACAGGCGGCCGCTTCACCCTGAAAATCCACATGCCAGCTCGGGAAGGTGGGTAATGAGGTCCTCGACTGTGGCAAAGGCCGGCAGCTCGGGAAAAAGGTAGGGCAGTAGAAGGCGGCCGAGAGCAGCAGTGGCAGGGGAAGAGTAACGAGCGACCACATCGTCGTACAGGGCCTTAGCAGTCTTGTACTGGCCAAAGTGAGCGTGTTCGGCTAACGGCAGGTGATTGCGAACGGCTAAGCGAGAAGCAGCGTCATGGGTAAGCCACTGTGAGCGAGTCGCACTGTCATCTGTGTCGGGAGGGGCAAGAGAGACTCCAGACGTGTGGTGAAACAATGAAACGCTATCTCTAGAATCTCTTAGTAGGTACAGCTGTAAGTCATCGAGCCACATATCGAACTGGATCGGACGGCCCTCATGATCGAATGTGAGAACGCTGAGAGTAGCCATAGCGGGCAAATCAGGGTGGCGCGTGATGAGAAGGGGGGCACGCAGGCAACAGGACGGCGTGACGGGCAGGGCGGCGCGCGGGCACTAGGGAAGCGCGCGTGGGCAGATCAGGGCGACACTGTGCGAGCAGGGCCGGACAGCGCAAGGGCGCTTCGAGCAAGAACAAGCGGAACTATTGGTGGGCCCTAAAAACTTAACAGGTTTCCTGCTCTGAATACCATGTCAGAATCACTGTGCAGGAATGAATGAACTATGAATGAGTTGGGTACAAGTACTAACCCTTAAGTGTTGTACCCCTTGTAGGCTAACCCAAATAGCCTAGAGAGAACACAAACATATAGTTTGACACACCCCCATAGGCTAAGTGGTAGATAGCAAACACAACAGACAGTCACAAGACCAGTCAAGCAAGAGAACAAAGCAAAGCAAAGCTCAGGGTGGATGTCAAGGACACCACACAATCTAAGCACAACCAAGCGGCCACAAGGCCAGTTCACATGCAGAGTTATAATAGTAAGGCAGTTCACTGATCACAACCTAGCAAGAGTAAACAAGCAGGTATAAAGATATATATCAGTGTACAACAAGAGCAAGTCAAGCAACCAGCAGGTGAGGCAGAGTGGGCACAAGCCCAAGAGAAGTGCAGAAACGTTGATGATCACCAGACCCAAGGGCCTTGGTGAACACATCAGCAGTGTTGGACCACGAGGCCATGTAGGAAAGGTGGAGCTGACGACGCTGCTGCAGCTCACGCGCAAGGAAGTAGCGAAGAGCAATGTGCTTTGTTCTGTGCTCCAGTCTCTGCTCGTGACACAAGGCAAGCATTGCCTTGTTGTCGACGTATAGAACTGGAGGAGAACGAGGCCGCTCCCCCAAGTCGGACACCAGGTAGGTCAGCCAGCGTAGCTCCTGTGCAGCCATGGCCCCAGCGTAGATCTCGGCCTCACTGCTGGAACCAAGCACAGAAGAAGAACGAGTGGACCTCCACGAGACAGAACCAGAGCCAAGACTAAAGGTGTAACCCTGTGACGAACGCTGAGTTGCCTGGTCGTCGGCCCAAGAAGCGTCGGAGTGTCCTGTGAGTACCACTGAACCCTGTCCTCCAAGCACGAGCCCCATGCCCAATGTACTGGACAAGTAACGCAGTACCCTCTTCGCAACATCCCAGTGCACCTTTCGGTGTCTACCGGGAGCCACGTAGCGAGCCAGGAGGCTGAGAGGGTACGCGAGGTCAGGTCGTGTGCACGTCATCAGGTACATGAGGCAACCCACAAGCTCTGGGTATGGACCACTCGGCTCTACGGACTCGTCCAAAGGTGGAGCTGAGAGCGAGTGGCCGGTAGACAGAGGAGTGGGCTGTGGCAAGGAGAACTGGAAGCCGAAGCACTGAAGGACCTGGTGCACCATGTATAACTGAGGCAGGGTGATGGTGCGCCGTACTCTGTCCCGGGTGATCTGCAAGCCAAGATAGCTACGCAGCTCACCCAGGTCAATGCAGATGTGTCTCTTCTGCACCTTCGCCTTCACTAGGGCCAGCGCCTCAGTGTCAGCAATAGCAAAAACCAAGTCGTCGACGTACACGAGAGCGTAGAACGGCGGCAGGGTATTATCGGTGCGTAGAAACAAAGACGGGTCAGCAGAGGAAGGGGCAAACCCAAGAGCCGCAAGTGTAGTCCTCAGTGTGTCGTGCCACTCGCGGGGCGCTTGGCGGAGACCGTAGACTGGCCCCCGGAGGCTCCACTGAGTACCCGCAGGAAACGACCCAGTGAAGCCAGGTGGGCGGCGCAGCCAGATCTCCTCGTGAAGGCTGCCCTGCAAGAAAGCTGTGGAGAAGTCGAGGGAGTGCAGCTCGTAGTCACACTGTGCTGCAACATGCAGCAGCACCCGAAGAGTAGTCATCTTCGGGGTGGGGGAAAAAGTCTAGAAGAAGTCGACCCCCTGTCGCTGACTAAAGCCTCGACCAACGTAACGCGCCTTGAAGGCAGGCGGAGAACCCGGCGGTCGCTTCACTCTGAAAATTCACATGCCATCGACTATGTTCGCCCTAGGAGGAGGAAACCCATTGACATAGGTGCCTGTAGACTTCTAGGAAGCCATCTCTGCGTCCATGGGTGTCTGCCACTGAGAGGAGTACTCACCCGCGAGCGTGCAGCGTAAGAGCGCGGGGTAGGGATGTCAAGTGCATCCGGGTCTCCCTCAAGGCAAAGCAGCATGGATGCGAAACGAGGTAAAGCGATCGCAAGACACTCAAGCTCAAACTGTCTGTCCTCAAGGACGTCACTCCTAAGGGCAGGCTCACCCTCGACGGATGGAGGACAGACAGACTCAGACTCAGTAACAAGACTCGCGACGTAGTCGAGTCGACTCCTAGCTGCAAACTTGACTAGCTCAGTGACTAGGGCAAACGCTGCAGTAGACTCAAGGTCAGGGTCAGTGACGACAGCAGCAAGGAGAGGAGTGACAGTAGGACTGGCAGCACGAGCAAGGTCGGACTTAGGGTCAGGAACGTGCGGAAGCGAGGACACGGGAGGCTCAGGCTGGATAACACGCTGTGGAATAGAGGAAGGGCGAAGTGCCATACCGTGAGTGCCTGGGACAGCAAGAGGACGAGGACGGGCAACATGACGAGCACGAACAGGTGTGGAAGCACGAGTCTCAGGCTCACGACGCTTAGTCAGGGGCCCAGACAGCTCAGTGTGTAGAGCAGGAGCAGGCAGCAAGGAGCCAGGTAGTAGCTGTGGCGGAGACTGGTCTGTCGGTGAACACAGGAGAGGTGGAGTGAGGCCAGTGGAAGACGGGAGACTAAGAACCTGGCGAAGGACCGAGTCAGGCGGCGGTAGGGACGACTGCGGCTGCGGGCAGAAAAACAGTCGGCGCGGGGCAGATACAGCAGCTCCAGCTTCTCCAGCACCAGCAGCACCAGCAGCACCAGCACCTCCAGCACCTCCAGCACCAGCACCTCCAGCACCAGCACCTCCAGTACCTCCAGCTCCAGCACCTCCAGCACCAGCAGTACCTCCAGCACCTCCAGTGCCAGCAGCTCCAGTAGCACCTCTAGCACCTACAGCACCAGCAGCACCACCTGCTCCGGCAGCTCCAGCACCTCTAGTACCTCCAGTACCTCCAGCTCCAGCGCCTCCAGCACCAGCAGTACCACTTGTTCCGGCAGCTCCAGCACCTCTAGTACGAGCACCTCTAGGAACAGCAGCTTCAGCACCTCCAGTACCTCCACACCTCCAGCTCCGGCGCCTCCAGCACCAGCAGTACCTCCAGCACCTCTAGTGCCAGCAGCTCCAGTAGCACCTCCAGCACCTCCAGCACCAGCAGCACCACCTGCTCCGGCAGCTCTAGCACCTCTAGTACAAGCACCACCATGACCAGCAGCTCCAGCATCTCTAGTACGAGCACCGCCATGACCAGCAGCTACAGCACCTTTAGTAGCTCCCCAACTTCGGGGCGTGCGGGCGAGATTATGGCTTGTAGGCGGCGAAGGAAAGCCATGGCGTGGATGTTAGGACGTCGTCAGGCAAAAGAGAGAGGAATTCAAGTGCGGACAGCTCTGTTCCTCTCAGTCGCTTGTTGCCAACATATGGAGTAGTGAGTTTTTTCAGCTGTGGAATTTGCTCCAAGAAATCTCGCGTTCCAAATCCCTCGAGCCTAAACTTGCAGAATTTCGAGGTTGCATATTACGTACAAGGATGGCGTCATGGGAGCTCCTCGTATCCTATAAATTATTCCCGTAGTCGCTGGTATGTTGGAGAAAACCTCGAATTTTCCAACAAGAGTTGGGGGAAGTCGGTTTGGTTCGGTCCCTGTCCGCTCCGCTGTGATGTGGCTCGGTTTTGGTGACTACACTCCCGACCATCTCGTTGGGCCGAATATTGGTGCAAATGTGTTGGCTGGCTGGCATGCGACGCTTTCACCCGAGCTGAGACAGCCTCGACAGTTTCCTGACACCATGGCGCCGCGTAAAGCTTTCTTGAAAACATCGAACCGCATCGCACCCTCTGGATCTTCGTGTGTGGAGACCTTTGCTGCTTTGAATTGGTGGAAAAGTACAGTGTCAGTAACAATCTTCAAAAGGGTTTCACACTTCCAGCACTGGTCTACACAAATATTATCTCTAAATAGTGCACCCACCCCTATTTCTGGATGAATTGGAAACTGCACCCAGGGTTTCAGAATATGGAGGGTTATGGTAAACAGCAATCGTGCCCAGCAGCAACGGAAAGCAGAAATCCTCCCTAAATGAGTCCCTCGCAAGGCTGAAACCCTTTCCTCACCTTCACACTCACTCTCCTGATCTCATGTGATCCTCCACCACTCAATTCCACCTTTTCTTCAGCACCTGCTTCCTAGACAGCCCCCAGGTCACCAGAATCGCGATCATGCCCAGCAGCGGAGCAAAGATCAAGTCCTCTCCCAGGGAATCAAACACTCGGAAAGCTGAAACCCTCTCCTCACCTCCCCCCAGCCTCCCCCCCTCTTCATCTCTACCTCCTCACTTCCACCGCTGCTTCAGCTCCTGTTTGCGGGACAGCCCCCACGTAACCAGAATTGCAATGGACAGCACAGCAATGGTTCCCAGCAGCAGAGCAAAGCTGAAGTCCTCTCCCAGAGAGTCAAAGACGCGAGAGGGGGCGGTGCGCACAAAGAAGAGGTCCAGCCCGTGGGCGAGCACGAGGGTGGTGGACTCCAGGCGCGTGGGGAAGGACAGGATGTTCTTCAGGCCTTCGATGCGGTAACGGTGGGTCAGGTAGGCCTGGGGTTTGGGAGGTGGGGGACGTGAAGAGCATGGGGGCAAGTATGGGAGAGGGGAGAGACACTGTAAGGAATAATGTTCGCCTCCTTGTCCTGCTGCGACGACTCTACTATCACAGTGCACAACCACTCACCACTCTGCACATCTCCCACTCACCTGGCCAGGCGCAGTCAGCAAGTCACTGTACCTCATAGTGTGCGCCTCCTTGTCCTGCTGTGATGCCCTCATACTGATGTTCGCTATAAATAGCAACTCGTTATAACGTGGTGACTTGATATAAGGTATTGCTCACCTGCCCAGGAGCAGGCAGCGAGTCACTGTAAGGCATGATGCCCGCCTCCTTGTCCTGCTGTGACGGCTCAGGCACCCTGCGGGGATCCAGGAATCGACGGTCGAGAGCAAGGACCTGAGAACATCCAACAGAGGGAAAGAGAGGAGAACAGAGCGGGGAGGTGAGGTGCGTGAGAGAGGTGAGAACAAGGCGAGTCAACAAACATGATGCACATGGAGACAAGAATAAGGGGACGCCTCAAATTAACTGCACGCAATTTTCATACTATCTCCCATCCCCCTCACCTGATCAAGCGCTGTGCCAAACAGCACATGCTTGTTCGTGATCCCCGCAAGGGTGGAAGTCACCGAAATACACCTCAACGCATAGGGGAAGTAGTAACTCTGCCTCAGCCGCTTCACCCTTTCCCAGGGAATTTCCGCAGCAGAAAGCGGTGCTGTGAGGTTGGACGATCCTGGGATGCTGAGTCCGTATTTGAGGTAGTCTATAACGGGGACGTCCTTAAGTGAGGTATCGAGGAGCTCTATAGTGGAGACTTCGTGGCGAGAGGCTGCGAGATTGAAGTAGTGGTATACCACCCAGTTTTCTGCCATGACCTGCACAGGAAGTGAGTTGACAGGGAAAAGGAAAAAGAGCTAAGGAGAGGGCAGAGGGAACAGAGAGCGGATGGGGGGTTGGTTGAAGTTGTGGTATACCACCAGTTCTCTGCCATTACCTGTACAGGATGAGGAGATGGGGAAAGAAAGTGAGGGCAGGAGAGGGAAGTGGGAACAGGATGAGCGAATTACGGATTGAGTGGTGGTATACCACCCAGGTCTCTGCCAATCACTTGGTGCACACAGTCAGGAAACGAGAAAACGATTAGAGGAAAGACGGAGCGGCTATGATGCTTAGGGTTGCAGAGGGAACAAGATGAGAGGCTGCAGGGTTGAACAGAGAGTCGTATATCAACAGTGATAACAAGAGAGTAAAGGACAGGAGAGGGAGGTCTAGGGGCCCTGTACAATAGGGACTCCATTTGGGGACCCCAAACCTCATACAGACCAGCCCTATACCAGCCCTGTACACACCCCGTACAAGCCCCTCGTACTCACCGCGTGTACGTACCACCGCTCCCCCCTCCTCCCCTCCTGCTTGCTCCCCCTGCACTGGTGGCAATGGCAACCCCAAACCCCGTTAAGACCAACCCCGTACAAGCCCCTCGTACTCACCGCGTGCACAGGTCCCTGCATGCCTGCATGCACCACCCTCTCCACCACCTGCCCTCCCACCGTGTCAATCAGATACACCACCACCGCTCCCCCCTCCTCCCCTCCTGCCCCCACACGAGAAGAAGCAGAAGCAGAGGCAGGAGTAGCCGCAGGAGGTGTGGTGGTGGCGAGAAAAAGAAGGTTCTTGGAAAGCAGCTTGAACTGCACGCTGCGATCGCCCAGGGCTCGCACTTGCGTATGCTGGGACTGAGAGGGGGAGAGGTGGAGAAGGTGGGGAGGAGGGCGACGGCGGGGGTGAGGGGTGAGGACGGATGGGGAATGGGTTGTTTGGGGACAACAACAAGTCAAGAGACAGAAAGAGCAGGTTCTTAGAAAGCAATGCAGCTTGAACTGCACGCTGCAATCTCCCAGGGCTCACACTTGCGTATGCTGGGTGTGCACATGCACACCCATGCCCACCCATGCCCACCCATGCCCACCCATGCCCACCCATGCCCCCCTACATACACACTCCACTCACACACAACCCCTCTTTCCCTTCCCCCTCTGCCCTCACACAAACACCCACCTCCTCTCTCTTGGGAGCAGCAATGGCTGAAATGATCTCCGAATCAGCTGGAAGAACCACCCGCCACACCAACACTGCTCCATACACCACACCCCCTCCCAACCTCCCACCATCGCCCCTCCCACCACTCCCACCACTCCCACCACTCCCAGCCTCATCCTTCACCTCCTCTCCAATGCTATACCCTTCCACAGCCCCCGTTACAGCATCCACCAGGTAAAAGAACACCTCCTTCTTGTGCCCCTCAAACAGCCCCCTCGCCTCCTCCGTCCCTGGGAACACATGCACACGCACAGGCTCATACCGCCGCGCCTTCCCCCCTCCCCCTGCTGCTGCACCTCCCTTCTCTTTCCCATCTGTCTCCTCCTTCCCCTCCTTCCCAACTCCCCCCGCTTTCTGCTCTTCCTCTTCGTTCATCGGCACCTTTTCTACCAGCATCACCAGCCGCCGCTCGTCCTTCCCCACCAGGGGCAACGGGGCAATGAGACGAGGGACAAAGGGCAGGCCCTTCGATTCAAGCACATCCCCCGTGTGCCCATTCACTACAGTCACTAAAGCCGCGTGTGCAATCTCCCTATTCCCCCCCTGCTGCTCCTTCTCATGCTTCTGCTGCCTGACCTGCAGCACCAAAGCTTCAGGTGTTTGGTCAGGTGACGTGCGATGGGGGTCCCTCCACAACACCAGCGCTTCAGGTGAAAACACAGATGCGCCCTTTCCACCTGAGGTACCACCTGGCGGCAGCGCAGCAGCCCACAGCACCCGGCCATCCCCTGAATGCAGCGCAAACAGCTTCCCCATCCCCTTCCCGCTGTTTCCACCTGACGCTCCACTGCCCCCACCTGCCCCTCTGTTGTCCCCACCTGGCGCGGTCAGCAGCAGAAAAATGCGCCGAAACCCATTCCTATCCCGAAAAGGCTTGATTTTTTCAGGGGAAGCGGTGCGCAGGCGATGCACCAAAGCCTGTTCCTCAGCTGAGCCGAGATTGAGAGAGGCCTTGGCTCTGAGCAGGTGCGTGCGAGCCCACTCGTAGATGTCATGCTCCACTGCTGCCACTGACAGCTCCTCCTCCTCCTCTGGTAGCTCTGCCACTCCCACTGCTACTACCGAAGCAAGAGCCTCTTCTCTCTCCCACACCACCTCGCCCTGAAAACAATGGGGGAAACATGGTGGAGCGCGAGAGGACACAAATGGCCAGCCATACGGAAAATCACGCGCGAGAAGTTAAACCGACCAGTGGTAACCCACCTGCTGCAGCAAAGACAGCGAGTCGCCCTCCCCCCACCACCAGCAGCCTGAACACAAACGCACCAGCCTTCCCCTCCTTCTCACCCTTGGCCTTGCCACAAGGCAAGAAAGAGCTGCACTGCAGTCTGCAGGAAGAAAGACCCCTATGAACCCACCTGTTGCAGAAGCGACAACGAGTCATCCTCCCCCACCACCAGCAGCCTGACCCAAGCGCACCCGCCTTCCCCTCTTTCGCACCCTCGCCCTTTGAACAGTGCAAAGAAGCTGCACTGCCCTTGGAAACATCCCTACGAACCCACCTGCTGCAGCAAAGACAGCGAGTCATCCTCTCCCACCACCAGCAGCCTGAACCCAAACGCACCCGCCTTCCCCTCTCCCGCCCCTCCCGCCGCTTTCTCTCCCTTGCCCCGCCCCCCGCCCCCTGCTCCTGCTGCCCTCGCGTAGGCATTGAGGAAAACGCGAGCAGGAGGGGCACGGTGGGGTGGCACAGAGACAGAGTCCGAGAGGAGGGCAGGTGGGGAGGAGGAGGGGGGAAGCAGCTGGTGCACCTGCAGGGGAGAGGGACGATGGAGAAAGGGAAGAGGGAGAGAGCAAGAGAGGGGGGACACAGGCGTTGAGGAAGACGCGAGAAGCGGGAGCATGGTGGGGTGGCACAGAGACAGAGTCCGAGAGGAGGACAGGGGAGGAGGAGGAGGAGGAGGAGGAGGGAAGCAGCTGGTTCACTTGTAGAGACGAGGGAAGAGCGAGAGAGCAAGAGAGGAGATGATAATACGTTGAGGGAAACGCGAGCAGGGGGGCTGCGGTAGGGTGGCAACCAAGCACACAGAGTCAGAGTCAGATTCTTAGTCACGAACCCACTCTCTTTTCCTCACAGAGTCACGAACCCTGAGGTTATCACCTGCATGTGGAACTTCAGGGAATCACCACTGCCTTGAGATCCCACGAGACCTGAATAGAAACTCCCTCCTTCCCCTCCCTCCCCTCCTCCTCCAGCTCCTGCTGCCCCTGCTGCTCCCCCCACGACGCTCGCACTAACAGCGCTCAATCCAGGGAACGAATCAACGAGCGACACCTGTCCTGCCGACCCATCCTGCCCGTCTGCCCCCCCTGCCGACAAAAGAAACACAGCTCCAGGCACAGACAGCCAGAAGAAGCTTCCTGGAGCTTTCTCTGGCACCACGGCAGCAGAGACCCCTGCCTGGTAATGCTCCCTGGGTAAGAGAGAGGCGAGGGGTGTGCCGTGCACTTGCACTGTTGCGGTTGTACCATCTGCTGTAGCAGAGGTAACCAGCGCAGCAGTGAGGATGTTACAAGAAGCCGAATCCACAGCCACCGCAGTGCCAGTCGCCGTGACATACGCAGCAGAACGAGGCAATGAGGAGGAAACGGAGGATGAGGAAGGAGGAGAGGCAGCAGAAGCGATGATTTTCCCAGAGGCGCCATCGAGAGTGGTGAGGGAGAAGGAGAGGGAGGGGGAGAGGGCAGTGAGGAGGATGGAGCCGTGTGGGAGCAGGGAGATGGAGTGGGCGTGCGTGGGCAGGGTAGCGGACCACAGCACCTCGCCCGTAGCAGCTGACAGGCAATGCACCTCCGATGCTGCTCCTGCTGGTTCAGCTGCTGCTGGTTCAGCTGCTTCTTCTGCTGATTCATTTGAGCCAAGGAGGACCACCACTTGGTCTGGTGAGGACCCATCAGTGGCCTGAGAGGGAAGGGGAGGGGCGAAAGCAAAGAATCCAGTAGAGAAAATAACTGAGTGGTTCAGATGTCGATGCTGGCTCCAATCCTGTTCTGTCTGATGCTGCAGCTGATCCAAGCAGGACCACCACTCGGTCAGGTGAGGAAACGTCAGTGGCCTGAGAGCGAATGGGGCGGACAAAAGGAAAGAGCTCATAAGCCACAGCAGAGGCGACACTTCTTGCTTCGTAACATATTGAAAAAAACAAGTAAGTTTCGCCCAAGACTAATAAGCACAACCCTGTTCAGTACACAACCGGTGAGCACAACCCTGTTCAGCGTAACCAACTCACTGGGATTGTGATGAATTTGGCAACTCCAGCTGCAGCAGCTGCAGGCAGTGGCAGCACAGTCTCCCACGCGAGAGTCCCATCAGGCACAGCCCACGCCCTCACTGCTGCTGCCTTGGTGCCAGACAGGGTGACTAGGTCTGGATGGGAAACATCAAACAGCGGAGATGGGATGGGGGTGGTAGGAAAGGAACATTCAAGTGGCAACACCGAGGATGTGAGTCCCTTAGGACAATTGTCCACATCCGTGCCCACCAACAAGCATGACCCATTCATATTCCTCCATTCAGTCACATCCGCCGCCCACATCTCTCCATTCACCGGCACATGCCCCGCCCACATCTCTCCATCAACTCGCATCTGCCGTCCATGTTTCTCTAAACACTCACATCTGCCGCCCATGTCCCTCTAAACACTCACATTTGCCGCCCATATCCCTCTAAACACTCACATCACATCTGCCGCCCATTTCCCTCTTAACACTCACATCTGCCGCCCATATCCAGCGCACGGAGGGTGTCCTTGTCGCCTAGCACACGGCGCCACGCTGCCACCCATATCAAGTGCGCGCAACGGCGTTGCAGGGGGAAAAGATGCAGCGGGGGGAGGAGAGGGGGAAGGAAAGGAAAGAGGAAAGGTGGAAATGGGAACCGAGAATCAGTGATCCCGCCTTGCAGATTCGCGACAGGAAGCGCGTAAAGCGACGAGGAGAGATGTGCTGGGTCTTTTGAGGCGGATCAGATTCAGAACAGCCCTGGCTCGGCACTTAGAACACGCACGTTCCTGGTTGTTGTGGCATGCACAGCTCACCGAAATCCCCACTGGCTCACTCACCGATATCCCCCGTGCGGAGGTTCAGGGCCGCGACGACGTTCCTGTCAGTGCCCACGAGCACGCGCTTGCGCTGCGAGGACGTGAGGAACGCGGCGAAGCGAACCCCACCTATGCGCGGCTGCACCCAGTCGTACGTCCCCACCTGGTCCTCGTATAGCCCGCTCACCCCCCACACCCCCGCGCACAACACCACCATCGCCACTACCAGCAGCAGCCGCAGCGACCGCAGCAGCAGCGGTAGGCGTGTGGTTCTAAGCGACTGAGCCATGATTGGATGCTGGTTTCAGCAGTTCAGCAGTGATTGGCGGATGAGCCCCGCTCCACAGTGGTCGCTGATTTCTAGGGTAGCTTCGGCGGGAAGAGAATTGGGTGGCTAGAACCTGAGAGAGATGGTTGGGTTGAACATATGTACAACTTCCCAACTATCAGAAATGGAACAACTGTCATGCGATAGGAAACCAGGAGTACGATTACATTTAGAAAATCAGGAGTGCGATGGGAGGGTGTTGCAGCGACAAAGCAAGTACTTGACTCGAGGCAGTGGGGGAATTATCACATCCACGAAGCACCGCGGATGGGAGGGCATAGCGCTGAAGACTCCAAAACCCGTTGATTTCGACTACAGATCTAGCAAAAAGAAGCTGTCATTAGCTAGTTACGATGGTTATAGTAGCAAGATGCTGATTGGAAAGAATCAGGCGATATTAGGCAGGAGTAGGCAATATCATGCAGGATTATACAAGATTAGGCAGTATTGGGGAGGATTAGGCAGTGTTAGGGAGGTAAGTGGAATTAGCAGGTAAGTAAGGGCGAGTAGAACGGACAAGACTAACAAACAGAGAAAGCACACAACGAGAAGGCGGCGTTCGCTTAAACGGAAGGTGCGCGGCAGCACAGACGAGAATGCTTATAACGAGTATATAGGGTTACCACAACTACGTCTGCTTGAACGACCGAGGGTTTGCTTGAATTGGAACATGACGTTGGTGAGCGGCAGTACACACGAGAATGATCATAGCGAGAATATAGGGTTACCACACCTACGTCTGCTTGAACGAGGGAGGCGGGGTTCGCTTGGATCGGAACATGAAGTAAGTGAGCGGCAGCACGACCCCCACCAGCATCAGCACCGCGCCCAGGATGTAACGGATGGGGCCTGGAGGCTCTATTTCCAGCAGCCGACGCGCCTGAAAGAGAATAACAAATGAGGTTATGGGGAAGCACGTTACTATAAGATATTGGAACGCTTCGGATATGTTCTAATGAGGATCTCTAGGGGTTATAACGCAATTGGGCGAATGAAGAGGCGAATCTGAGCAACTGAAGCGAAACGACTCAAAACCTAGTGAGCGCTAGTGCGACTGGGTGAACAGGTGAATCTAAGCAAGCGACGCGACAAAGTTTCGTAGCGAAGCAAAAAAAAACGATTCTCAAATGGCCGTGATCCACTGCCTTAGCACGAAGACGGAGTGATCTGATTCCCTACAATACGCAAGATTCAGGGACCTACGGATCGTCAGTGCATCGAATTCGCGAGAAACATCGCGATGATAAGACCTACAAGTACATGCAATGGCGGGCAAGTAACGGCGTACCGGCATGATCGGGGGAAAGCAGGAACGGATGATTCGATCAGTGGAGCCAGCGGCAAAAGCCTGACTGAACTGAGGCTAGACCCGCGTGAGTTGCGAGAGGATCGGAACTAGCTGGGGAAAAAATGGGAGCTTGTCATGGAATGCTCGATCAAGAATCTCAATTCCAAATTTTTTTTTTTTTTTTTTTTTTTTCAGTTTTAAATGAAAGAAAAACGGAAAACGCAGCCTCAAGAACACCCCAGTAGAACAGCACATAAGGAACCCCAAAAGACACCCCAACGAGATACCCCCAACGAGACACCCCAACGAGACACCCCAACGAGACACCCCAACAATACGCCCCATCTAACCAAACCCCCCACCCCCCTCACCTAAACCCACCCTCTGAACCCGCATGTCCACCAAATAGGGCGCATCCGTCCACGGAGCATCCCATCCCATCTCCTCCTCAAAATCCTCCCGCTCCACCGAAACAGCCTCTGGGCCTCTCATCATCGACGCCGCGCGCAACAAGATCACACGCGCCTGAGCCCGCTGCAAAGCCACACCTATGGCCGCTTTAAGTGATCCAAGCAAGTAAGCCGAGAAACCTTTCCCCGTAGCTCTCGCCGCCCCTTTCGTCTTCGCTACCTCAATCTGCGCGTCGCCCTGTTTCTTAAGCCACCGCCCAAAACTCCCCCCCAGGCAACCCCATGTCTCAGCAATGAGAGGTGTAAACTGCACTCCCCTATGTCGCTGCAGAAGCAATTTGTAGTCCGCCGCCTTCCGCTTTTCCCTCTCTCTAGCGGCAAAACCCACCTTGCGACCAATCTGTCCATGGTGCTGCGCGGACAACGAGATAGGGTCCACCACACTAACCTCCAGCGCATGCTCCTCCCCCTCCCTCAGTCTCCGCACCGCCACATCCACCCTCTTCCCTGGCAGCAACGTGTCGTCTTCCATGGTCACGACCCCACCCGCCCCTTTAGCTATCTTCGCCACCACAAACTTAACCGCGTCGTGAACACGAGAAGGTGCGTACTGGTACTTGCAGCGAAGGGCATGATGCGGGTCAGAGGGATCAGCAAACTCAAACCCACACGCGCACTTGCCGGCGACTATCAGCTGCTGTATGGGGAGGCCTAGGCGCATGGACGCACAGATGCTCCACTCGGCTGCGGTGAAGGTAGCCTCTTCGTGCGAAGGGACGGCGGAGACCCACGCCCCTGCCCCCGGGCCCTGAAGGGATGTCAAACGGGCCATGGTGGCGTCGTCGTGGGCCATACCCCGAAGAGTCTGCAGACTCTCAACCGCTAGGCGGCGGTGTTGTGTGGGGAAAAGCAGCACAGGGGGGTCAGCGGTGCATAAGGCTAGGGGTGGCATCTCCTGCCTGACCGACTGTGGCAGCAGCTCCACTGCTCTCGCAAACCAAGGATCCAGCAAGGTCGTAGCCTCAGGCGTGCGGAAAAACTCCTCAAACATCCGTTCCTCCCCTGCCACCCCCATCCGAGCCACATCGCTCACTGCCTGGCACCAACCACATGCGTACGACAGAGGGCTAAGGTCAGCTGCAGATCGAATGCCAAACCCTCCAAGTCTGGCTGGAAGGTGCAGCTGTAGACGGGCCATCTGCGACCTTGCCGAATCATGATCCCAGGTGCTATCTGGAAACAGCTGCTCAAAACAATCCTCAAGCTTCGTGTCCCAGTCGCGGAAAGCCTCCACAACCTCAAGCCGTGGAGGCATCGTCCTTGTGAGGTAAATCGGGCGCGCTGACACTGCGATCGCCAGCAGATGGGACGCAATCTGTGGGTGGTCGAGCAAAGGAAGCCAAGGGACAGGTGCATGCAGCTGCATCAGCCGGCCTCGCAAGCTGGCCACCTCCCACTCCTCCTCCCCAATAGGAACCCCCACTACGGTGAGCCCCGTCCATGTTTGCTGCATGCCGGGCGGGACGGTCTCGTTCCTCTCCTCTCCCTCCTGGTCCACCCCTCGCTCCCAAAGCTTGCACTTATGCGGCTGCACCTCCAGACCAAGCGCGCCCAGTCGTTCCCGCAAGACCTCATAAGCTGCTAGCACCCGCTCCCTAGGCCCCAAGATGTACGTATCATCGGCGTAGCTGAGAAAGAGTAGGTCGGCGAATTCTTGTTTGGTGGGCTCCATAACCAGCTGCTGTGTGAACGCGAACAGAAACGGCCCCAATGGGTCCCCTTGCCTCGATCCTCGCTCTGAAGCCAAAGCTTCGACGAAGGGGCCCGCACGGAGGTAGAGGTCGCTAGGAGTGCCGTAGAAGACACGCAGGAATGGGATCAAACCCGCAAAAGGCGACTGTCGAAGTCCTTCAAACATTTCCCGCCGATGGAAGGAGTTGAAAGCATTCGCCACATCAATTTGAAGCGCGCACCATGACGGGTGAGTAGAGATGGCAGAACGAAAGGCATGTGCGAGGACTTCCACTCCCGACCTGGATCCGACTCCTAGCTGGTTACACGGCGCAAAGTGCGACATCATCTTCGGCCGAAGCACGATGCATAGGGCCCGAGATAGTATGCGGGGGAGCACCTCGCCTATAGCCACCGGGCGAACGTCACCATTCGGCTTCGACAGGCCCACAAGGTTGGACGCAGTGAGCCAGGGTCGCACGCGCTCCGCTACCTCTCCCTTGGTCCACTGGGTGAAGACTCCTAGCAGGTGAGGCAGGTATGCGGGCTCAGAGAGAAAAGTGTCGCGCAGGTGCTCCGTCACCCACCCCGACGGTCCTGGTGCCGACGCCCTAGCCGCAGAGTGGAGCGCCTGACCAAGTACCTCCACTGAGAGCTGCGGGATAAGGGAAGGCTCAACTATCTCCTCCTGCAACCACTCCGGAAAGGCGGTCTCGCTCGATGGGTGTTTCGCTCGCAGCGCGTCCACCATGTGCTGAGAGGGCTGAGCGATGCTACCGGCAGTAAGACACGTCAAACCCCGACTCCATTCTCCCACTTTGCACCTTGTGCGGCAGCGAGCCAGGCGCACCGCATCAGGATCATGCTCGGGGGGGGTGAAAGGCCAAAGGACGCGCCGCAGGTTGCATTACCGCCACCGCCAACTCAAACAGCTCCCGCCACTCCCCGACCCAAAACTTCTCCAACCGCTCCCTGATTGCCGCCCTATGCCCCTGGCCTTGCCCAGTTGGCATCCCCAAGATAAGACGAGGGAAGGCCAAAAAGACCAAGGACGCCGCCTCGTCTGCTGCCTTTAACTGTAGCCGCTTCAGGCCACAAGACAGTGCATCAAGCACCCCCAATCTAGCGCGCTGTGGGATACGACGCATGATTCTCCCTGGCACCAATTCGATCCCAAAAAACGACTCCCAGTCCCATGTAGGAACTGCGGCCCATACCTCTTCACTGATATCACGTGGTGGCGGGGGTTCGCCGTCCGAGTCATCTGTGACGTCGCGGGTCAACCCAAGCGCCTGAGCACGACGCTGGGCGTCCGCTGCCCTGCAGGCCGACATATGGCGTGTGGCCTTTCCTCTCTCCGTGAACGTGCGATAACAGGTTTCGCACAGAATGCGGGGCGGGGGTGTCAATGTAGGGTCTGGGTGCTCCTCTCCACTCGAACACGCCGGCAAGACCCTCCTGCTAGACTCCGTCTCCATGCCCCCCTCTAACGGCCTTGCAAGCTCCATCCCTCCGCACTGCAGCTGCTGCTGCCCTCCGCTCTGCAACTGCTGCTGCCCTTCGCTCTGCAATTGCCGTTGCCCTCCGCTCTGCAGCTCCTGCTGCCCTCCGCTCTGCAGCTGCTGCTGCCCTCCGCTCTGCAGCTGCTGCTGCCCTCCGCTCTGCAGCTGCTGCTGCCCTCCGCTCTGCAGCTGCTGCTGCCCTCCGCTCTGCAGCTGCTGCTGCCCTCCGCTCTGCAGCTCCCGCTGCCCTCCGCTCGGCAGCTGCTGCTGCCCTCCGCTCTGCAGCTGCTGCTGCCCTCCGCTCTGCAGCTGCTGCTGCCCTCCGCTCTGCAGCTGCTGCTGCCCTCCGCTCTGCAGCTGCTGCTGCCCTCCGCTCTGCAGCTGCTGCTGCCCTCCGCTCGGCAGCTGGTGCCCTCCGCTCTGCAGCTGTTGCTGCCCTTCGCTCGGCAGCTGCTGCTGCCCTCCGCTCTGCAGCTGCAGCTGCCCTCCGCTCGGCAACTGCTGCTGCCCTCCGCTCTGCAGCAGCTGCTACTCTCCGCTCGGCAGCTGCTGCTGCCCTCCGCTCTGCAGCTGCTGCAGTTTGGTTGCCCGTCGCCTCCGGCCCCGGCCCCGCGCTCGGGGCCTTTCCGCTTGGTCCGGGGAATCAGGGTTGGCATTCTCCCCCTCCATGGGGCTTGATTCCAGCTCATCGGTGCAAGCCTCGTCCGCCATCTCCACATCCAACACCCAAACCGGCTCTTGCTGCCCTCCGCTCTGCAGCTGCTGCTGCCCTCCGCTCTGCAGCTCCCGCTGCCCTCCGCTCGGCAGCTGCTGCTGCCCTCCGCTCTGCAGCTGCTGCTGCCCTCCGCTCTGCAGCTGCTGCTGCCCTCCGCTCTGCAGCTCCTGCTGCCCTTCGCTCTGCAGCTCCTGCTGCCCTCCGCTCTGCAGCTGCCGCTGCCCTCCGCTCGGCAGCTGCCGCTGCCCTCCGCTCGGCAGCTCCTGCTGCCCTCCGCTCTGCAGCTGCTGCTGCCCTCCGCTCGGCAGCTGCTGTTGCCCTCCGCTCTGCAGCTCCTGCTGCCCTCCGCTCTGCAGCTCCTGCTGCCCTCCGCTCTGCAGCTCCTGCTGCCCTCCGCTCTGCAGCTCCTGCTGCCCTCCGCTCTGCAGCTCCTGCTGCCCTCTGCTCTGCAGCTGCTGCTGCCCTCCGCTCGGCAGCTGCTGCTGCCCTCCGCTCGGCAGCTGCTGCTGCCCTCCGCTCTGCAGCTGCTGCTGCCCTCCGCTCGGCAGCTGCTGCTGCCCTCCGCTCTGCAGCTGCTGCTGCCCTCCGCTCGGCAGCTGCTGCTGCCCTCCGCTCTGCAGCTGCTGCTGCCCTCCGCTCGGCAGCTGC